CGCGCCGACCTCGACATCCGCAACAACAAGCCCCGCAGCAAGTGCCGTGAGTGCCGCGGCACCGGGGGGCCGCGGTGCCGCCGCGGAGCCCCTGAGCCCCCCTGTGCCCGCAGAGCAAGAGGGCCGGGTGTGCGACCCGCTGTGCTCCGCCGACGGCTGCTGGGGCCCCGGCCCCGAGCAGTGCCTGTCCTGCCGCCACTACCGCCGGCGCGGGCTCTGCGTCGCTGCCTGTCACTTCCTGCATGGGTACGAGGGGACGGGCACGGGGGGCACCCGGGGCTGGCGCTGGAGTGGGAATTGGGATGGGATGGAGCCTGGGGAAAGAGGGGTCCTGGAGCTGGTGCTGGGGTGGGACAGGTGCTGGAATGGGCTCCAGGATGGGATGGTGTCCGAGGAGGAATGGATCCTGGAGCTGGCGCTGGGGTGGGATGGACACGGGGATGGCATTGGGATGGGATGGATTCTAGGGCAGATACTGTGGTGACACAGGTGGCAGAATGAGTGCCAAGATGGGATGGATCCTGGGAAGAGATGGATCCGGGGGAAGATGCTGTGATGAGATGGACCCCAGGATGAGCACTAGGATGGGATGATCCCCAGGGAGGGATGGGATCCGGGATTGGCAGCAGGGCAGGATGGGCTCTTGGACCAGCACCGGGATGGAATGGAGATGGGATGGAGCCTGGGATGGGAAGGACCTGGGGCAGAATGGATCCCAGGATGGAGCCCAAGAGCCAGACGGATAGACAGAGCCCGACTGCTGTCCTGCAGGGAGCCGCGGGAGTTCGCGCAGGGGAGCGAGTGCTTCGAGTGCCACCCCGAGTGCGAGCGCATGGAGGGCAGTGTCACCTGCAACGGCTCGGTACAACCCTGTCCCCATCCCCACACTGCTGTCCCCATCCTCATAGCACCATCCCCATCCCCATGACACTGTCCCCATTCCCATGGTGCCATCCCTGTCCCCACGGCACCATCCCTGCAATGGCTGGGTACAACCCTGTCCCCATCCCCACCGCACCATTGTCAACCTCACAGCGCGGTCCCCATCCCCATGATGCTGTCCCATCCCCACGACACCATCCCCATCCCCATGGTGCCGTCCCCGTCCCCGTGGCACCATCCCTGCAATGGCTCGATACAACCTGTCCCCGTCCCTGTGCCCACAGCGCTGTCCCTGTGCTCACAGTGCCATCTCTGTCCCCGTGACACTGTCCTCATCCCCATGGTGCCATCGCCATCCCCCCGTCCCCATGCCACGCTGCTCACGTCTCCCGTCCCCACGGCGCCGTCCCCGTCACGGTGCGGCGGCGCTCACGCCCCTCATCCGCAGGGCGCCGACGCATGCACGCGCTGCGCGCACTTCCGCGACGGCCCGCACTGCGTGGAGCGCTGCCCTGAGGGCCTCCTGGGAGA